TGACTCACCTTCCTTCTAGGCAGTATTACAGCATAATGTTAGTTGGCAAGTTTCTTTTAGTAATATTCTTTATTGTAAGTACCCAGGAGAAGTTAGATAGGTTATGATTATCCTAATACAGTTATCAGAAATTGAATCAAACGCACTTTTATTATGTTAGACGTCTAAATAATAGAGAATCCGAGTCCTGTTTTAGAATGCTGGAGACCTATAAATATGGAATTATGGTCTGCCTATGTCACATAATCAGTTGATCCTTAGATAGAGTGGTGAGTCCCCTAATTTACTAATTTCACCCTCTGAAACTCCTACTTACTGAATTTATAAGGCCTATTGGCTTAAGATTTCACCCCTTTCACTGGAGCCTTACCACACTGTCATCTTCATTAATGTCATTTACTTATAAGTTGACTCATCTCCAGATGTCCTTATTGAATGTGTCCTTTTGTCTCTTAACGACATTCACCTTCATAGCAACTGTAATTTACAGTAAAGCTTCTCAGCTGATTGATTTTGTAGGTAATTTAAGCACTGGGAGCCTGCAGAGGTCCCCATCCCTGCCGCCCCTATCACTTCAATCTAGTTAAAAACAAAATAACACAGAAAAAAACTCTTTGGCATTGTTACTAGGCAGCAAGATATTGTCCATACCACCTGCATCAGCATCAGCTGAGACCTTCAAAATTTTTGACAGTGAGACCAGATGTACTTTGGGGTTTTTTTCCCCACACATGCTCTCCAGATCATTCTGATTCATAGCAAAAATTGACAACTACTGGTGTAGGAGAAAGTGTGAGTCAGAAAGGCCCTAAATAGGTTATTTAATCTTTCTAAGCTTTTATGTCTGCACTTGTAAATAGGGATTATAATACCTGTCTTGTTATGTGAATTCCAAATAATGCATTTAAAGCCTTTCAAGCCTCTATTACAGTGTTTCACTAGTGTTCTGTAAATGCAACGGTGGATATGAATATTGTTATTGATAATATACTGTGTCCAGGTGTAGATGAATTAGGAGAACCAGTTTCAAAGTATTTCATTTTACAAATTCAAGCTCTGTGAAGCTTGTAATTACAGAAAATGGCACAGTTTGGTAGTTATGAATATGAGCTTTAGTGCTTATAGTAATTTTTATTTTTATTATTGCATGCTTTTAGTATTGCAATATTTTGCCTTCACCTATTTTAAGAATTTTTTTTCCCTTTAAGGTTATTATTTTAAGAAAAAATAACTACTTTTAGTGCCTATTAAGTGTGTATATAAAATACACAAAATGCTACAACTAATTAAGTTATCGTGTTATCTGTTTTGTGTAAGGTGATACTAATTGGTTTGAAAACAGAACAATGAAAACGGTTTCTGATACATTGCTCTGTGATGATTTTTTTTTTGTGCTTAAGTTTTGCTTTAAAAGCAGTATGTTCTAATATAAAATGCTGAAAGAAAATAACTATTTTACAAATTCATCTGGATGTAATTATACTAATGAATATTAAATAGTACTTAATATTATCAGTTTTCATAATAAACGATTTAGGAACTATTATAAACATGTATCGCTAAGGCTGTAGAAAAATATTTGGAAGGAACAACAGAGAGATATCTATCACTAGTCAGCTGTGGAGTTCATAATCTTTTAAATTTATCCCTTTTTATAATGTTTCTTAAACATTTGAAGCTGAGATACATGAAACATCTTTTTCTCTAGCGATGCTTGATAATTGACACAATAGAAAGCTCTTCAATTTTGTGATATTTTATAAATTAAAAATTATTTTGTATTGTTTATGAAATACATATTTTACATATACAAATTCAGTCATTTCAAATACCCCAACCTCTCTTGACATATTTTCCTTCATTGTACATACCTGGAAAAGCCACCGTCTTGGTCAGACCCAGTCACCTACACATTCTATGTTAGCACACAAATGCCAAACATTGATAGATTAGTAATACATGACTGTGATGGCTGGTCTCATATGAAAGTTATCATGACTGCCTGATTATCTTCTTATCTTAGAATGTTTGTTGTTCTCTCAAAATGACAGTTTCCCTCCTTGTCCTCTCTGTCTGTTCTCCCTTAACCCCACTGTGCTTTCAGTTTTTGCCTGAGTTCTTTAAGGAAATAGAAACTATCACACAAGAATATTCTCATGTTTCCCACTACCACATTTACTCAACTGTCTGCTTTTATTCCTAAACCCTGCCTTTTCTTCTGTAGTGTGGAAGAAGGGTTTCTCTTCCTACCCAAGTTCAGGTGCTTCATATTCCACCTCTTTCTGCTTTTGTATAATAGTATCCCTTCCCTTTCTTACGTGAGGAGTTTCTCTCTCTGGATCTTTCCCGTCAGCAGAATGTGCTTTCCTGTTTCTTGCCTGGAAGTATAGTGGAATCCTTTCATTCTACATATCTCTCTAACTATTGATTACTTTTTATAGTACCTTATTCAAACTTCTGGAAAGAGTTGCCTGTAGTGGCTGCTGTATTTCTTCATGTCACATTCTTTCCTCAGCAGACTCCATTTGTGCTTCTATTTCTGTAATTCCTTGAAACTGTTCTTCTTGGAGTCAGTAATTGTCTTCGTGCTGCCAAATCTATTGTTATTTTACTGCTCTTATTTTCCCTAAAATTGATTGTTTGTTCACATTTTTCCTTCTTTAAACTTTCCTTTTGCATTGGTTTTCCTTATACCTCATTGACAGTTTCAGTTAGTTTCTTTTATTAACTCCTCTTCTGCTTTGAGTCTAAATTTTGAAATACTCCAGGCCTTTTTCTGCACTTCCAGTTTTTTACATCCACATATTTTTCATACCACCTTACATACCATTTATTTACTCAAATGACCCAACTCTGTACTTCTGGTCCTGACATATCTCAAGTGCTCCTACTGATATAGCTAATATCCTAAAAACCTCCACTTGGACCTTTGAATAGTCACTTCAGATTCTCTTGACCAAAATAGCGTCTTTGATTTCCTTGTCGTGGCCAATTCTGAAACCTTCATCTCTGTCTTTTCCCATCTCAGTAAATGGCATCGTCATCTAATCTGTATCCTATAATTCTACCTCTTAAGTCTATCAGAAGTTAATCTAACTTTTTGTACCACCACTATATAGTTTATAGTAAGAGAATGGTTAAGAACTGGTTCTGGAGTCAGACTGCCTGGGTTCATATCCTGTTCACTATATGCAGTTTCTGTGACCTGGAACAGGTTAATTTTGTTGCACCTCAGTGTTCATGTTGGTAAAATTGTAAAAATAGTGTCTACTTCATACTTTGTCTACTCTGAAATAATTGGAACAGTGACTAGGACATTACGAATACTTTATTCCTCTTTAGTATTACTGTTGCTGCTGCCATCATCACCACCTCCTCTACCATCCTAGTCCCAGCCTCCATCATTTCTTCCTACTGTATTAACTTTCTAATTGTTTTCTATACCTATGTGCTTGTCTTCTACTCACCTCCCCCAAATCCATTCTAACCCATTCTTCATACAGTAGATAGAATGATCTTTTTCAATTGTAAATTATATAATATTACTATCAGGTCTAGAACAATCTGAGAGCCTTGTGTTGATTACACTTGTGTAAACTTCAGACTTCTTTCCATGGCTTACAAAACCTTAAATCTAGCCCTTACCTTTCTTAACCTCATCTCGTATCTCACTGCTCTTTTCTGATTATGCCCTAGCTGGATTGTTATTTTTCTTTGCATAGAGTTAGTCAGACCTACCTCAGAGTCTTTGTACTAATTGTTTCCTATGCCTGGAATTATACCCTCCCTGGTACTCATTCAGATCTTCACTTAAATTTCACCTTTCAGAAAGGTCTTCACTGATTACCCAATCTAAAGAAGCACCCCATGATAGTCCCTGTGTCATCTCATTGCCCTTTTAAGTCTCTGCCCAGAACTTAACATTATCTAATGTTTGTATTTGTTACTCTGCTTTCTCCACTAGAATGTGAGTTGCAAAACTCTATCCCTGTGTTGTGTGAATTTAGACTGTATCCCTAACTCATAGTATAGTATAGCATTCTCCTAAAGTCATGGCAAAATATTCAAGAATATGGTTGCCTTTAATTTGACTTTATCTGCCAATCTGTAATACATTGCCCTGTATGGACCCAAGTTCAAGAAAGCAATACCTTAACTCATCTTCTTATTCCTTAAGCTAGATTCAGCTCCCACTTACTAATTAGATTCTTTAAGTACATAGTTGAGTTTTCTCTGATCTGTTGACATTGAGTTAAGTTACCTTCTGAGGATAGAAGATTTGATAAAGGGCCAGGCGTGGTGTCTCACGCCTGTAATTCCAACACTTTGGGAGGCCCAGTGGGACGGATCACTGAAGGTCAGGAATTTGAGACCAGCCTCGCCAACATGGCAATACCCTGCCCCCTACTAAAAAATACAAAAATTAGCTGAGTGTGGTGGTGCACACCGGTAATCCCAGCTACTTGGGAGGCTAAGGCACGAGAATCGCTTGAACCCAGGAGGTGGGGATTGCAGTGAGCCAGGATCATGCCACTGCACTCCAGCCTGGATGACAGAGTGAAACTCTGTCTTTAAAAAAAGAGAAAAGATTTGATAAAGGTTCTAGTTTGGTTTAGCTTTATTGTAGCATGATTCTTAACTATTAAAATATTCTCAAATCAGCCAGTTGGATTGCCTAGGTAGTCATTACTACTTAACAGATGAGAAAAATGTATAATATAGAGCTAATACCTGACCAGAAAACTAAGATTATTCATCTCATTTTCAATAGTTAATTTGTGAGTTGATGGTAACCGTATTTTTTTTTACTTTAATTAAATAAAAGCGTGTTTTATGTAACTGGCTACAGAAGTTTCTGTAATTTTAGTGGATTAGGGTTAAAGGGGAAAATTACAACTTGACAGTGCTGAAAGTATGTGAATGGATCCACAAGATGAAGAAAAACAATACAAGACACTGAAATATGAGCTATCTTTTACCCTAAAGCTGGAAAAAGTTTGAAAATAGCTTCTTTATTTTGAGCTACAGCATGGACAGCACCAACAACACAGTACTCTGCAAGGATTTCTTTTTTTGTATTTGACAGCCAGTCCAAATTTCTCTTTAGTATTATTAACATACTCTTTTGTACTATTCACTGTCATTTCAATATTGTTGATGCTCTCTCCTTGCTCTTCTACTAGAAGAGATATCTGAATGAAAAGATCCCTTAAATCCTTTATTTGGTTCTCTAAATTAACAAGTTCCTTGTGTCTCTGTTCAATTTCTGAAAGTTGTGCTTTAGTGATACTGATTTCTGTAAGTAAGCTTTCATTAAAAACTTCCCATTTTCCTTGATGAAGCATATCATTTACTTCTTCTTCAGACATCTCTTTTCCAGCAACATCAAGCTGACGCAAAATAAATGTCTTGCACTTCTCTTGCTTTGCTGCTATTGTATCATTGTATGTAAACATGATTTGCTGAAAATGGTGGAACATTGAAGCATGCTGAGATTTAAGTATCCTTGTGACCACTGATGATGGACCATTTTCAACCTCTGACTTTTTAACTTCTTTAACTAAATCATTCAAACTTCTGTTGATGTATTCTGCCTGGATTTTTACCTCCTTTGTAATGGTAGACTCTCTCTTAAGTAGACTAAACCTTCTCATTGAAGCCACCAGACTTTGCTGCTGCTGCCCAAATTTTTGAACATTGTCTGCCAAATTGTTAATACTTTCCTGTAGTTTTTGGATTTCATGTAGGTGTCTCTCAGCTACAGGCTCTCTTTCATAAATAACAGCTTGCTGCAGAAACACCCCTTGCTCCTCTGTTTCTGTAGTTGGTACATGACTGTCTCTAGAGAGTTCAATTTCCTTTGTTCTCTGCTTTAGTTCTTGTAGTCGGTCTTTCATCTTCCCTTTCCTCCTAAGAAGCAAAAATTTTTGTATTGAACAAGTAGAAATTTGATATTTTTCCCCAGTAGCAGTTGACTTCACATAACTGTCTATATCCCAGCAAAAATTCTCCTAGTTTTCTCAAATGAGGTTAAAAAATTAGAAAATATCCATGAGCTTCCTCATAAAAGCCATTTAAATAGGGAAAGTAATATAAAATAATTTGTAAGTTACTTTGCATGTGAGTGCCATTTAGTTGTGTGCAATAGCCGAGAAAGCAGTGATGCAGACACAGTTGGCCAAAAGTAAGTTCTTCAGGGTCATAATATCTGTCACATGATAGTTTTTTTTAAAATAAAGAATGCTTTTGACTATACCTTCAACTTATAGGATTAATCTTCAGATGCTGACAGTGCCTTTGTTACTAAAGATAGTGTTTCCAGTTAATTTGGCCAATGTAATATTAAAAAATACTCGGTTTGCTAAATATGCATCATTCAGTTAAAACCATTGTAATGACAGTACAGATTTTATATGAGAACGTTAAGCTACATGGATAATATTGAATTTATTTTAAATTTTCCGAAGCCTCTGAATTAACATATTACTTGGCATAGTGTTTTTTCTAACTGTTGCATATATATGAAAACATTGGTTTGATTATGCTGATTTCTCATTCTTAGCATTCTTTTGCAAAGATATCCAGACTGTCTTAGAACAAAATTTATATCGATTTGTATTAGGTGATACTTTATAAACATGAGAATATATTTATATAAAATCTTACTTTGGGAGTAATAATAATATTGACACTTATCACATGCTGTGTTGGTAGTTATCCGTAAGAATCAAATTGATGTACCTAACTCATATTTAATGATATAGATATTCATGAAATGACATACATATATATAAAATGAAGGGATTAAGAAGCAGTAAAATACTATTATCACAGAGCATCTTGATTTTAGAAATGTCTTTCTTGACATTTTTGAAGATAAGAAGAGGCTGTTAGGGAGTACAAATAGCTCATTGGACCACATATAATATTAATATCAACCAGAAAAAAAAAAGTCTCTGAATGTGATGCTGTTATGCTGTAGGACTCAGTGTTTGATATGTTTATGGAAATATTTTTATTAATCTGGATGTTGTCATAGGAGGCATACTTAACAAATGTGTAGATGGTATAAAATTTGGAGGAATCTTTAGTATGTTGAAGTACAGGGTAGGGATTCAAAGATAAAAATAGTGTGGAACTTTATACTAAAAATAACAAATATATTTAATAGGAATAGATTTAAAATATTTCATCTAGCTATAAGAAAAATATTTTCATATCTACAGAGTAGAAGACCCTTGGGTTCACAATAGTCTCTATGAAAGTATTGGAGATTTTAATTAAGTAAGGTTTTTTTTTTTTTTGGAGATGGAGTCTTGCCCTGTGAGTCTTGCTGGCATGCAATGGTGCGACCTCTGCTCACTCACTGCAACTTCTGCCTCTCGGGTTTAAGTGATTCTCCTGCCTCAGCCTCCTGAGTAGCTGGGATTACAGGCACCTGCCACCACGCCCAGCTAATTTTTGTATTTTTAGTAGAGACGGTGTTTCACCATATTGGCCAGGTGGGTCTCTAACTCCTGACCTCGTGATCCGCCCACCTTGGCCTCCCAAAGTGCTGGGATTACAGGTGTGAGCCACCTACCCAGGCTAATTAAGCTTTCTATCAGAACTATCAGAATAGTCATTATGCTTTTATAAATAATAGTCTGATGTATGGATAAACTAAACTCTGCCGACTCTATGCTATTCAGAGCAAATTGCAAGGGTAAGGGGAACTCTATGAACTTCTGAGCATATTTTGAGATGGAAATTCATAAATTAGGAATTACCAAACTAGCATGGAAAGGATGAGATTTGAAAACCATGCCAAATGGAGACTCATTGAAACAACTGGTAATATTTGTCCCGTAAAAGAGAAGATATAGGGTGCGTATACGACTATCTTCTGAAACACAAAGATCTGTATATGCAAGTGGGATTAGACTTACTTGGCATAACTCCAAAGGGCAGTGGGTGGAAATTACATGGAAAGAGGTTTGATTCAATTTGTAAAGAAGACTTTTCAAACAAATACTGCTTTCCCAAGATGAAATGAGCTGCTTCATGAGGTGCTGAGTTTGCCATCACTGGAGATTTTCAAGATGTTCTTGAATGATGACTCCCATCAGGCATGTTACAGAAATGATGCCTGTTTTGGGTAAAAGGTTAAACCAATGTCCTGGTAATATTCCTTTGGTTTTAAAGGACTGGTATTTTGTGAAATAATCATGGAAGTCTACTATATGTAAAGTTTTAAATGGTGTAATATATATTTAATTTACAGTTATATAAGTAAAGTATATAAATTCCTCCTGTCCTTGAGGAATTTATAATTTAGGGTGAGAAGGACAATATACAATTTAAAAGATAAATGGGATAATTTTAGGTTTTGATACAATAATCAGGCAGGGTCTCTCTAAGCAGAGATTTGAGATGTGAGACTAAATGTTGAGAAGCCAGGCAGATGAAGAGCCAAGGGAGTATATTCTAGGTATAGGAGTTGGGGTGCCAAGGCAGTGAATGAGACCGATATGTTTTAGGAACAGAGTTACTGCATAAGAACAAAGTGAATGTAGATAGAAAGGAATGAGAATAGTAACATGGGAAGAATGAAGTAGAAAGGTAGGCATGGACCACATCATAAAGGGCTTGTGGGCCAAAGGAAGGAGTTTAGATTTTATTCTAGGTGCAGTAGAAGACAGTTAAAAGATAAATAGGATATTGACGTGATTTGTATATATTTTTTTCTTTTTGATATGTAATTTAAAATTTTTTAAAACTGAAACAAGGTGTCCCTATGTTGTCCAGGCTGGTCTTGAACTCCTGGGCTCAAGCCATCTGTCCACCTTGTCCTCCCAGAGTGCTAAGATCACAGGCATGAGCCACCATGCCTGGCCCTGATTTATATTTTTAAAAGATGTTGTTGCTTTCTATATAGAGAATAGTTTCCTGGGGAGTGGGTGGGAGTAGTTCACAGAAGAGACTTGACCCATTCGAGATGGAGTAAATGGGAACCATTAGGATATGGTTTTGGAAGTAGAAGCGATAGGACTTGATGAGTTTAACCCATCAGCACTGAACACAATCTTTTCTTGAAACACTTTGAAGAAAAGTATTTCTCCTGGTTTTTTCCCTTACCTTTTTGGCTCTTCCTTTATCACTATTTTCTTTTTCCTGGCCACTCCTTATCTCCCCCACCTGTAAATATTGGAAGAATTTAGACTCAGTCTTATTTTTATCCATCATTTTTTAGTCTCACGGCATTAAATGCTGTTCATAAGCTGATGACCCAAATTTGTATCTCCAGTCTAGGTTGCTCTTAAAGAACTACCTACCTGACAGCTGCATTTAATGCCTCTGTCTAAAATGAGCTCATAATCTTCCTCTGAACCCATAAATTGCCCCATCTCTCTTCTGGCCACTCTGTTTTTTCAGTTGCTCAGACCAGAGACTCGGAAGTCTTTTTTTGTTTGTTAGTTTTTTGAGACCGAGTCTGGCTCTGTCCCCCAGGCTGGAGCGCAGTGGCGCAGTCTCGGCTCACTGCAACCTCCGCCTTTCAGGTTCAAGTGATTCTTCCGCCTCAGCCTCCCAAGTGGCTGAGACTACAGGCATGTGCCACTACGCCCGGCTAATTTTTGTATTTTTATTAGTGACAGGGTTTCACCATGTTGGCTGGGTTGGTCACAAACTCCTGATCTTAGGTGATCCACCCTCTTCGGCCTCCCAAAGTGCTGGGATTATACGCATGAGCCACCATGCCTGGCCGGAAGTCATTCTTGACTTTTATTTTTTTTTCCCTACAGTTCATATGCAAACATAGCAAGTCTTGTCAACATCTCTTTCAAAATGTATTTGGATCTAGCCACCTCTTACCATCTCCCTGGTTCAAGTCCCTGTTGTTTTTATTTTTTATTTTTGAGACAGAGTCTTGCTTTGTTTCCTAGGCTGGAGTGCAGTGGCACAATCTTGGCTCACTGCAACCTCCATCTCCCGGGTTCAATCCTTCTGCCTCAGCCTCCCAAGTAGCTGGGACTACAGGCACGTGCCACCACGCCTGGCTAATTTTTGTATTTTTAGTAGAGACAGGGTTTCACCATATTGCTAAGGCTGGTCTTGAACTTCTGACCTCATGATCCACCCCTCTCAGACTCCCAAAGTGCTGGGATTATAAGCATGAGCCACTGCGCCCAGCCAAGTCCTGATCATTACAGTAGTCTCCTAAGTGTTCTCCTTGTTTCCTTTTTGTACCAACTACCCCCAAACTGCCCCCACCACAAACCTTTGGTCTTAACACAGAATTCAGAGTTAAAATGTAGGTCAGACCATGTCATTTCTGTGCCTAAAATCCTCCTTTGGCATTATCTCTTAGAGGAAAAACTACAGCCTACAAAGCTCCACAATGACTTCACCCTCCTGTCACCCCTCTGACCTCATCTCCTACAACTCTCCCTTGCTCTGCTTCAGTCTCACTGTCCTTGCGGTTCTCACACAAATCTGGCACCATCTGGCTTTAGGGCCTTGGCACTTGCCTTCTCTTCTATTTGAAGTGTTCTTTCCCATGTAGTATGTGACATATTTCTCCAACCCAGTCCTTACTGAAATGTCACTCTCTGAGTTAGGATGTTCTTGGTCACCCTATCTTGGACTCTACCTTCTCTCAACTCTCTGGCCCTTCCCAGCTTTGTTTTTCTTAGCATTTTCCACTATTTAACATACCATATATTTTACTTATTTATATTAACTTAATTGTCTACTTTCTCCTCCCAATATTAACTCCATGAAGTCAAGGGTTTTTATTCATTCTGGTACCTCGTAGAGTTAATATTTGGAGGAGAAAGTAGAGGGTCTTTATTCTTTCCCAACACCTGATGAGTCTTATATTTACTTGAGTTCTCATGTTGAGATCTTGATATCTTAGATTTACTTGAGCT